ATAACGTGTACAAACTTTTGACCAGACAGACAGAAAGACAGAGTTGAAATAAGCATCCACTTCCACTGGTAATAATAAGGCTTATCTTCGAGTCCGAAGATTAATGAGGAACTTCCTGTGGCGATGCAGCCCCAGCTGTGACCTACATATTTTGCTACATCCAGTAATGAAGATAACATAAGTATGTTAGAACCTCGTTGAGCTACCAACCCAATGTCACTTTATCCTCTCTCATCTGTCCCTTGACTTTCGTTGAAGTTGTGCAGTGACAGCTTCAGTAACCAAAGCCCTCCACTTTTCCCGATCAGCAGCTGTTCTAAGCAGGACATCGAGAGAGAGAGAGAGAGAGAGAGAGTGAGAGAGAGAGAGGCCGGTCCATTCTTTTACGTTGTCCAACCAGCTTTTTTTTTGTGTGTGTGGAGGATCCTTTCTTTGGTGCTACCTCCTCTGTGTCTTGAAGGATGACCTTTGAAAATGAGCAATGTCTTCCAAGATGACCAAACCAGCTCAGCTTTCGTCTCTTTACAGTGTTCAGGAATTCCTAAAATTGTTTTCTCCAGCCAAAGAGTTGGCTTATAAAAGTACGAACTTACATACATGTAAATAAAAAGCAGGAAAGAGAATCTATTTGTAAGATATATTTTGTTTAATTTTGATTACCTCCCCTGATTAAATCCAGTTGTTATTATCATGAGACAATGCGACTAATCTACACTAGTTGGCAATCTTACTAGAAATTGTATATCTACATGCAGTATGGACAGGGGCGGACTGAGTTTCAAAATCGGCCCATTTCTATGCAATTCGGCCCACAAATTCTATATCATATGATGGACATCCATTTCTAGGTCTACCTGTCCTCAAAGTCATTATGTCAAGTTTGATAATGTATTAATATGCATGTATACAGTGAAATCTACATCTTTATTAGAAATATAGGCCTTATGTTACTTTTTAATCGCTAAATATATAGGCCCTAAAAGGATGAAGCCTACTAGTAGCACTGTCTACGTATGAAGGATATTACATTTTTTCGGAAAATGTGTAAAATGTGTAAACTGAAAATAGTATTACACTGTAGAGTCTGTGCAAGATTTGCGTTTTTATAAGAGAATATTATAAACCTTTAACAATTTCATACGTGCCCTACAGGCATTGATGCGGCCATTTCCGTTGCTCTACCGGCCCATTTTGGGTACCGGCCCACCGGGCATTTGCCCAAATGCCCATATAGCCAGTCCGCCCCTGAGTATGAATGTATATAACAGTTCCAATGACAGTTAGTGAGTAGATTTCTTATTTCATTAAACTGTCACAACAAAAAATACATAAAAACTTTTCTTTCAAATAGACCTTACTTTTTATAAACACTGAAAAACAAAAAACAGTTATTTCTACAGCAATTTCCTATATTTCTTAATCATCATTGTAGAAGTATTAAAACATTAGAATCATTACATACATAAAACATACATAATCATAAAAGAAGACAGAAGAAACAACACAACTGAAAATGGAGCTAAGATTTAGGAAAAGAAAAATAAACAAACACAAGTTTATGTTGACACGATTTCTGAACACGTTTCATTCCCGTCCGCGCTCATTTCTGTGTGTGTCTTTACAATCGCATTTCTAATAATTAGTAATTGCACGACCAATACTAACTGTTGCTCTACGGAAGAGACGCTCTGTAACTTACATATGCTAAACTGGGATAACTGAACTGGAAATGTTTGGAGTCCTAAGCCTTAAGTTGTATCTGTATGTTTCTTGTGGTCGCCGACTCCAGTAGTTATGACTACAGCTGAAAGGCTACTCTACAAACTTTTACTCACGCTTCGTCGTGTTCAATTGCAGTTCTTGCATTTAGTTAGGAGCAGAGTGAGGATCCTTGGCTTGATGTTTTCTGGCTCTCCTTAGGTTGACACTTTACATCAAAACTTTCAAATAGCTAATAGTTGTCTTGGACATGACACTATTGACTCTGTGTTTGACCTTTATTAGATTCTTTAGACTCTCATCTATATCATGAAAAAAAAAGATAGTTCCTCTTGATGCCATATTTTTATGACAAAGCTGATATTCTGTTCAGGGAATGAACTTTTATCAACTCCCTTGTTCTTGAAGGGTGGAGGGAGTTGGGAGTCTGTAATTTCACTGGAGTAATTACCCCTTAACAACCAAGTTTACGACATTTGTTATATCACAGTTGTTCCTTTCACCTAGGAAACGTAAGGGAAGGGTTCGATTCGGACATTATGTGTTGAGAAAAGAAACATGTCCCAATCCACCTAATTACAACCCTATATGGGTTGTTAGATTGACTTGTTGTTTATAAAAACCCTCCTTGTTAGTTCTTAAAAACAGGGGGAAGAAAGGTAGAACTTTAGTGCTACATGATGGGGAGAGGGGGGAGTAATGCTAACAGCCGTTACGACCAGCTACGCTCGTGCCTTTTTGGTATTAAGCCGTTAAGGTACACGTGTTTATTAAAGTCAGCATGTGATCGTGCACAAATGTTCTCATGGGTCTCAGGACTAGATGTCTGTCAAACGTTTCGGATGTTCCTTCAGACTTGATGATAATTTCATCCTAGCCCAAAGTAGGCCCAAACCTCTAGAGGGATGACTAGAGATGACAGGGAGAAGGGTATGAACCCCCGGACCATTGAGACCATTCGAAATACAGTCCAATATACCTCACGACCAGCTCCCCGTTACGTCAAATGGGATGATGTTTTGTCCAACAAAAAGAATTATTTAGGTTGAGTTAAAACCTCGTGACTTAAGAGGGAAAAGAAATTATGATATTGAAAATATGATGTTATTCGGAACTATTTAAATCAATTCAAGACATAAACCAAAATTAATTTTAAGATAATCATTAGAATAAAGTATTGTTTTATTACACTATCAATGATTTGTTTTTATGTATTAAATATGTATTAACCTGAAATATTATATAAAAAATTTAATTATGCAGAAGAAACCAAACACTCCCACAATTTAAAAAAAGTAATTATTGTTCATAAAATTTTTTGATTTATTAAAATGACATAATGTTGAACTTTGATTTTTAACACCGAATAAACAAATCAACTGATAGAAATTAAAGAAGCTGTATCTACACCTTGTACCATTAGAACAATACGAAGCAGTACAGTATATAAAGATGGGGAAAGAAAAAAAATGAAGTTCCACATAAGGGGATCTACAATGAATTTCTTTTTTAAAGGAAGAGAGAAACATGTTCAAATTATACAGAAAGATCAATAATAATAATCATAATAATAATAATAAGGATGTCTTTAACCAAAGATTAATATTTAGTGTTATTAGTAAACCAATTGTAATAGAAGAACACTCAGGAAAAAAAAAACTGACACGGCTAACGGACTGTTAGGTGCCTTTTAACTAGGCTTACAAAAACACACACACAAAATAAAGATACATCAGAGATTATATATATATATATATATATATGTATCAATTACTTGACGTGAGCCCTTTAGTGTAGCTAAATATAATAATATAACAGTGACATAGATATTATATTTACACTCAGTAATTACATATCAACATAGAAAAACTATAATAAGGCTTAAGTCAAATATTTACTCCATAGACAAGCCTCATCGTGAACAAGATTCGATTAAAAAAAAAACTACACGCATAATAAAATTATAAACACACAAAGAAAAAGGTATGAACAAGATCATGTCTGTAAGTGTGAAGGTCAGTGACGGAACACTAAGTCCTTTTGGTGTCCATAAGCCCCTTTTAAAAAGATAAACAAATATGACATAAGTACATCTCAGTGGTGCTCAACAGGTTTCAAGCTGGTGGTCATGCACGTTAAGGAGAAACCAAGCGCTGGCCTTATCACCGCCGAAAATCGTCGAGTCTTTTGGAAACGAGGCTTCATTGTGCATTATATGAAGGAGATTTTTGAAACGAGGCTTCATTATGCATTATGGGCAGGAGTTTCAAAACGAGACTTCATTATGCGTTCTGGACATGAGTTTCAAATCGAGACTTCATTATGTATTCTGGGCAGGAGTTTCGAAACGAGGCTTCCTTATGCAATCTGGGCAGATGTTTCATGGGGCTGATTAGAAGGGCTTAACAGGCAGTATAGGCCTCATGGGCCGCACTTTGAGCATCACTGTCGTATTCTAACTACAATATCTTTTTTGATCTCTTTCAACACCCTAGTTTCCAGACTTATGTCACATAACTACAGCCCCAAGAGGCTAGAGCTACATTTAACCAAGACATGTTCTCCATAATTAAAAAGTAAATCAGCTCATTCCTGGCACGAAGCTTCTCACATATTAAATTAAATCCCTTTAACACAGTGCATTGATACTAAGAATTGACCAGGAAAAAAAGTCGGAGTTGTGTATCTTATGTTTTCAAATAACCGTGTACAGCACAGTTATCCTATTATGGAGGAACAAGTAAAACATTAACTGTACAAGTCAACATCAACATCCAGTGTGAGGGCTGCTGAGATTTGACGTCTAGAGGATAGTGTCACACAAAGAACATTAAATTTTGACAGCAATTTAGAAAAACAAGAAGAGATATAAGATGAGGTAATACTATGCGTTTATATTCATTAAACAAACAAACAAAAAAACAACAACTTTACATTATGCGTAAAGTGGAAGGTGATTTAAATAAGGCTACATAAACAAAGAAATTGATCAGATTTGTACAAAATGCAAATAGCCGGCCTAATGTTTTCATCACTCCAGAAGATACTGTACATCAATACCTACATCTAATACTAAATAAAAACATTTCTTGCGATTTTCTGTTAACAATTCAGCTGTCTTGGGGGAATTTTCAAAATCTGCACATTTTCTACATTTTCATGTTTAATATCCGGTTAATATTTTTTAAAATGTCTTTTTTTTTTTAAAGCAATACATAGAGAGATAAGATGAATGAAGAAATTCCCTGACACCATAAAAGAGTAACAGGAAAACGTAGCCTAAAAAAAAAAAAAAAAAGAGGAAGAATGCAGTGTTCGATAAACCGAAGCAAGTACGACAATAAAATGTTCAAGATGCTTAATTGAAGATCACTGAAGGCAACTAAATAGTGAAAATTGGAAGCTACTGGTGGAAGATCCTCAAAGTGAATTTAGTGATGCTAATAAATGCAGAAATAAATTAAAATAAACAACCTTTTAAAAGTGATAGCATTGGAGGTGTTTTGTACACCTGATACACCACAAGACTAGCTCTGGATAGATTCCCCTCCATTTTAAAAATCTTCAAAAGTGTTACTGGTATCTAAATCTAGACTGAATAGGCTAAGGTACCTCTTTATAGTTCGCTATGAAAAAATACTTAATATCAGTTTAAATAAATGCCTGGGCCTTTGGCAAGGCATTCGTTTTCTAGTATCTTCTAATAGTTCAATTATAATTTAAAATGATGTCTTAGTTTTTTTTTTAGATTTCGAATCTTTTCATGCTAATCATTAAAGGATAATAAACAATCCATAATGAATGTTCAGAAAACAGGATTTGTTTTAAATTGATGAGGTGATTGCCATGAACAATAAGACACGAATCAAAACACAGTTGATTTTAATACTGATGAATTAAAACAACAAGTAATTAGCAATGCAGCTCATAAGAATTCCATGCAATAATTTGTCAATTATTTCCATTATTATTATTCTAAGTCAGTAACAATTATTCTTTAAATAATATCTGACGGTTAAACACATAGCATGCATTTGATAGTTGCATACAATAAGAATATTTCCAAAGGAATAAATGTGTGTTTTTTTCTGTTACTTAGTTATTTATTACAAAACATAGAAAAATCTGACTTATTAGTTTTGTTTTTGATGTTACTTATGTAATATTATCTTACTTAAGTATTCAATAAAGGTTCTAAAAGTCCTTATAGGACCATCTAATCGATAATCAATGAGCAACAAGCCATTATATATAGTCGTAAAGAAATAGTTATGTTGATTACTTTGCCACCAATTGTGTCCATTGGTTATAACTTTTATATTGTTCTCTAACAAAAGAGCTCAGAAATCCAGGCTCTATTTTTATCCACATACACACCATCCGTTTCCTCTTTGTTCTATTGATGGCTTCTCATCGGGAAATTCCGATTAATTCATCTCTTCAATGGAACACCACAAAACTTTTCTAACCAGTAAGTTCGAAGGTTTCTTAAAGTTTTAAAACAAATCATCACAAGTCATTAGGAAGTCACATACCAATATCACACAAAAATGTACTTGTTAAACTCTCCAGTACCAATGTCCCTCGCCAAATACTTGAAAACTCTACCATTTCCAAAATCTTTCAGATTTGTTGAGAACATAAAGCTAGCTTCCTACAACCTCCAAAGAAATAGTAGCGCTTCAATTCACCCAACAGATTTCAATAGTTCCTTGTCTTTCTTCTTTCTTGAAGACATAAATCTAACATTCCTACATACTCCAAAGAAATAGTAGCTCTTCAATTCACCCAACAGATTTCAACAGTTCCTTGTCTTTCTTCTTTCTTGAAGATATCGATGGCAAAATTCAAAACTGTTTCTATGACATATGACTCGTATGCATTCATCTAAATGGAACATGGATTTTTTAAGAGAAAGAAATAAAGCACATAAAAGACATGTCAGTGTCAACTTGTCGTGGTTGCTGCACTTAAGCTGGTAAAAAGCCTTTTGTGTGGGGGGAGCTTTCATGTTTAGATGTTGCTGGACAGCTCGTTGGAGGCAGCGTTCCTCGGGTTCTCGGCAGGCTTGACCATCATCTGCACAGCCTTCAGGGAGGAGTACATATGGATGGTGTTCCACTGGATGCCGTCTCGCTGGAAGTAGTGCTTGTGGAAGCCCTTGTGGTAGTACTTGCCGTTGAGGTGGGCCTCGAAGCAGTTGTTGAACCACCAGCCGCCTTTGTAGTGCTCAGCGCACGAGTCGTAGAACCTGGGAGCAAAACAAAAGAAAACAACGATGACTGACTGAAAGAAAGAGAGAGATCGAGGCTCAACATATAGATCTGTTATTAGTAAGCGAACATTATGGTAGGGAGACATTATATGGAATCAACATTAAAATAATATCAAATGTGATATTTTATAATTATAAATACTCATATGTTTTCAAACTACAGGTATATCTAGAATGACAATGTTGCGCTACAAAGAAAATCTTCTGATATTATTATTGTAACACTCCCAGGAGATTAAGATTATAAATGCTCTTGAAAATTTTAAAATAAACTACTTCTTCTTCCAACTAATAGAAACTATGGTAAGACTTTTTTTTTATGTAGGGGGGAAAGGCGATTGGTCTGGAGGCTCCGGCCACTGCAAACTATGAACAAAACACACAGGTTCTTGATCGAGCCACAAAAGTATTTCTTCTCTCTCTCTCTTTATATATATATATATATATATTCGTTACTGTGCGGATTGTATCTTACAGCACAGCGCAGGGACGCCCATAATACAGACCGTGAATGAGATCAAGCCGCAATGCCAAACCATCTGGTCCTTGCACAATGCTGTCCACATTACCAAGATTGTGTCACGTTTCTATTGGTTTCAGTAGATTTCAATCTGTGGTATTCTAGCTTAATAACTTTGTATTGAACAGACAACTTTGTTTTCCTTAAGCTAACTGTGCCATTGGTATTACGTGTTGGCCAGAAGACACCGTTTTATCATTATTTTTTTTTTCTTTTTTTTTTTTTGAGGGGGGGGGGGGGAGCAATGCAAGTGATATTTTCTGATCAACATTTGTGTGCTATTAACATGGGAGAGCAGAGCAAACAAAATAAATTGAAACTTCCTAGTACTTCTTACCATTTAGTGTACAATTATGTGGGATAATCGAAAAAGAAAAGTGTACTTTAAAAAAGTTTATCTGTCAGGTCTTGCGATCTGGGCATATGATCTAACGATGATCTGTTTTTGTGGACCACTGTTAATGAGGGTATTATGTGGCAAGCACAATGAGCTGCTGTTTTTACTTTTCCCTAACTAATGTCTTTTGGGTAGACTCTGGGGCGCCCTAATAAAACCAGATATACAGAATACCAGTCTTTACAGGGATTCGAACCGAGGTCACATCACCACGGGAGTCAAGTGTTTAACCACTCAGCCACCAAGCCTTCAATTTTGCTCGGCTTTATTTCTTTTTTTTTTTTTTTTTTTATTTGGCCTAAGAAAAAGGTAAGGGTATTTATTTTGCATGCAGCCCGAATAAGGTTGAGCATCAACTAAGGAGATAACTCTATATAAAAATAAAAAGAAACATTTTTTCATGAATTACCTCCCGTCGTTATCCTGATCTTTCGTACTGAAGGGCATGTTGTCGTGCGTCTCCCAGGGCGACGTCATGGCGTCGCCGGCGTTTCCGTGGTAACCAGAAATGTGCAGCCTGTAGTTGTGCTTCAGGCCGTCGACCCGGAAGTAGTTGTACACTGCGTAGTACTTCTTGCCGCTCCACTCTTCCATTTCAATTCGCAGCATGGTGTCCTCTGGGAGGATAAAGAGAGAAGGAAATAAAGTCGTTAGTTCCAATGCGCGGCATTTATCAGGACCAGAGTCACTAGACAGAGCCAGATATATTATGACACAGAAGCCTTTTTAACATTTTAAACAGTAGCGGAATATTTCCCAGAAACTAAATTTAGAGACTCATATCAGCTCTATTGTTCAATATACATTCAATGTGTGTTTGTGTGTGTTTGGGTTAAGATTTAAACCAAGGGCTTGAAGCTGGCACATTTTACTAACTCATAGTTGGTCATTTTATAACAAACTCTCCAAACATTGCTGTCTGATTTATTCCCCCTAGTAGTCCTAGTGCAGAGAAAAAGGCGTTTCTTAGTTATTAACCAGAAATCAAGGGAGTTAACAGAAGAATTTGTGAACATTCATAGTTTCGACATGATTGTAATTCTTGCTATGTTTTCTATCCTATCCGCGACAAACATCTCACCTTTTCCAATCCACACTCCAGACCCAAAAATGTGTGAGCAGTACCACAAGTTCCAAATACTATAGCTTTAAAATTTCTTTACATCTTATTTTCTACACACACACACAAATCAAGATGTTTTCTTCATTGTCTTATAAGAAAGTTTACATATTACATGATATTAAAATTAAGAAGACACAGTTTCAGCACTCTTCATGCATAGCCCAGTAACAACAGTTAACTCATTGACTGGTAATAGTGAATATCATAGCCCGAAATCGGTAATTACATATGACTGGCCAGAGGCATTGTACAAGAGCCTATAATCCTAAAACGTGGACTTAAGTACAGCCATAAACCTTAACAGTTATATAACAGGGGCCTGGTAACAGATGGGCCCTTTTACGGTTATAACACAACGGATTGTTTCAATCATAGCACAGGAACGTCTGTAGATTTCTGCATAACAAATAACTGAAGAAGGGCTTTCTTATAATCATAAGACATGGGCTTCCATAAATGATATCAAGCAGGCTTCTTAAAATCACAACACCGGGCTTCCTTATATTCATAACACAGGGGCTTCATGAAAAATCCTAACACCAGGGCTTCCTTAAAACCATAAACAGGGGGTTCATTGATATTATAATACAGGGGCTTCCTTAAAATCATAACAAAGGGGCTTCCTTAAAACCATAAAAATGAGCTTTTCTTAATATTATAATACAGGGGCTTCCATAAAGAAATAAAACAGTGGATTATATCATAGCTAAGATACTGTAGAACAAAAAAAAAGGAAGTCTTTTACTATGTATATTCAAGCAATACGTACGGATTGACATCCAAAGGAACATATGCTTGAACATCCTAAGGAACATATGCTTGAACATCCTAAGGAACATATGCTTGAACATCCTAAGAAACATATGTTTGAACATCCTAAGGAACATATGCGTGGACAGCCTAAGGAACATATGGGTGGACATCCCAAGAAACATATGCGTAGACATCTAAAGGAACATTTGCGTGGACATCTAAAGGAGCATATGCGTGGACATCATAAGGAACATATGCGTGGACATCCTTAGAAATATATGTTTGAACATCCTAAGGAACATATGCTTGAATATCCTAAGGAACATATGCGTGGACATGCCAAAGAACATAAACGTGGAATTCCTAAGAAACATATACGTGATTAGCGTAGAGGGACTTATAAGGAACAAAAGAAAATTTTTAACTTTTCATTTATTTGGTACAACTAATTGAACTGGGAGGCAATGAAACCGTGGCTACAAATGACTTCTATTCTATTTTGTGTCGGCTCCATTGCCTCTGAATAAGTCAACCAAGAAAGTTGATATCCTGCAGGCGTGTCATCAACGTGTAACGATACAACAACGACACGCCTACTTACAAGAACAGCAGGGGCGTAGCTTTCAGTTTGTAAAGGCGATACGATGAGGCCAGTAGGGGAGAATAAAGCAAGGAGAAAATCTCTACTCCTCATTAAATAAGTAAATGTCACGCTCCATCATTTGCAATCATTTTAATCTGACCATATATTTCTGTACTTCTCGGCCCTTTAGTGCAGTTTCTGCACCTTACCGAGGCGCCGCCACTGATTCTAGAACCAACAAGCAAAAATTATAAAAATTCGATTGTCACACCGCGCTTAAACTAAATTGAATGGGGCTTTAAAACCGGAATAAAAAGCGCTCGTTGCCTATGTGTAAGTGCCTTCAATAGATTTGATGTTTCTTTCACTACCGTAGTCATATCAAGATAAGCACCATTATGAATTGGAGGAAAAAATTAATAGTGTTTACCTAGAGACCTGCTGAGATTTAAAATTCCAGAGGAGTATTTCGCCTACTTATAATGTGGTGCTAAGAATGAAGAGAGAACGCCAGTTTTCTAGAGCTTTTTAGCGGCTCAGAAAGGAGAATAGCCTCAATTAGTTTTGCGTAGTCTGTCAGTCCGTCCATCCGTCCCGTTTAGAGCTCAAAAACTAGAAAAGATATTGAAAATCCGATATCCTAATATAGTAGATTTTTGAAAGTTCTGATGCAACGGCTACTTTGCTACTATTGTGTTTCTGTCTGTTATCTTATTATAGCACCTTGAGCCTACATAGTGTTTGTTAACAATGTTTTATACATAGAATTTTTATTATTACTATTATTAGTATTAGTATTATTATTATTACACGATTCGGGTGTTCCTTTAGAATTACAGATTATTATATCCTAGCCCAAACATTCCCCTTGCAGAGTACTGTGGAAGGCAAAGTCAAACCTTGGACCATCAAGTAGACATTCGAAAGCGCATACTGCTAGACCAGGCAGCCGTAGCAGGTAACAAGTAACAGGCCTAATCCTCATCCCTTGGAGAAACGCCTAGTGCACTTCATTTAAATACCTCTAAGTGTGACTGTTACATCGCCTTCAACTTTCAAGACTAATGTTGTTTTTTAAAGTTCTTACCAAAATAGTCTTGTCACACTAATCGATTCAATGAAAGGTTTCGGCCTATACCAAAAAAAAAAA